GCGCGCGAGGGAGGGGGGGGGGGAGCCACTGCAGCCGCGGCCGGGAACGAGGAAGCGCAGGGTGTGTGGGCTGACCGGCAGCCCTGGAACACCTGCCCAGCCACCCCCAGCTGCGCCGAGTCAGGCCAGGGCAATTCGTGCCACTTGGGCATTCTTCTAGCCTCTGAGAATGAATGATGACCTCGGCCTCACAGGGGAAAGGGGGCAGGGCCACATGCGCGGTGGACTTCAGCTAGTGCCTCCGGGGCCCAGTGCTGCTGGTTAACTCGCAGGCAGGCTCAGAATGGCAATGGCTGTCACTAAACAGCTGTCCCCGGGACCAGCAGCAGGCATAATGGCTAAGTCGCTGGACTCCCATGGTGGCCTTCTGAGTAGCCACTGTGACTCCAGCTGCATTTTCGGGTCATTCCGTGAGGGGTGGGGGTGGGAGGTGGTGGGATGCAGCCCCAGAGAAGCAAGTGCTGGAACCAGGAGGTCCAGGGTTAGCGCGGCAGCACACGACACTCGGACAGGGCAAACTCCCCAGGGTAAACCGGGCGGTTAGCCAGTGAGTCATGCAGGGCACAGCGAGGGCGGGCTAATGCAGACGGTGCTGGGCTTTCAGAAATAGCTTGGATTCCAGAGAAACCAACACGGAGACAGCCACGGTGGGAGAGAATCCGCACCGCCTCCCTGCCCTGCCCTGGGACACAGCGCCATGACGACACTGCTGTGCTCCTCCACCGGGTCAAGTCACGGTCCTGCACGGGTCTCTGAGCATGTCAGCAGCTCATGTCAGCATGTTAGGAAAAAGAAAGTCAGGGTGCTCTAGAACAAGGAAGGAAGGGATGCTGTGGAAATGACCAGGTAGGCCCTGTGCCAGGTTTGGGGCAGCAACGTCCCGGCCGTCCGTGACCGCCGGGGCGCCCAGCCTTGTCCTCAGAAACCTGGAACATCCATCCAGGACTCTGAGGACGATTTCGACTCGGGCTTCCACACCCATTTCAACTCTTGGACCCTCGAAAGGCTAACGTCGTACAGAGAGATGCTGGGGTCTTCTTGACTGATGCCCTCGTGCCCTTCAAGGCTGCAGTTCAGCAG